AACTTCAGGTCCGATAGATAGATACACACCTAGGCAGAGAGGGAACTATCTATACATAGATGCTTCCTCAACCGTGTCTGAACTAATACTATATAATATATATATCTTTATATATATATATATAAGTATATAGTATTTTCAACTTTTTCAGTTTAAATATACATTTTAGATGTTTAAATATATAAGTATATATAAAGTATAGGTATATATATGAGGGTTCCTGGTTTATCTTCCTTGGTTAGAGCCGAACTTGAAAACAGGTTTATACAAACACCCTTTACTTCCCCACTGGGGAATCCCCAGCCTACGTTGGTAAAGTATTTCAATATTTCAACGCTAGATGTAGTTTTATTGGTAATACAATACTTACATTAGTATAAAGTAAAAATATATTTTTACTTTCGAAAGACTGAAAAATACACATGTTAGCATGATTAATAAAAACAATTCCATAATTATGTATTACAAAAGATCTGATAAAAAAGGTGCTTCCATTTCAATGAGGAAAATCATTATGACCATACAGTGCACAACTTACCATAACGTCGTCGTCGACGTCCTCTTCACTTCTGGTAAAGCATTGTATTTATGGGAGTTGAGTTGAGTTTTTAATAACTCAGACTCTTCTTATTCTTATTATTATCATTATTACAGGGTAAGAAGGAACGACCGCTCATAGTTTTAACTTTAGAAAAGCCGTAAATAATGTTATGTAGATTTCGTTATGAATAATTGGAAATAGTTTTTTTATTTGATATCAATCATAACATGCAGGCGCGCAACTAGGGGGGGGCCAGGCCCCCCCCTAGCCTGATTAAGGGAATCCGGTTGGTAAGGTTAGTTTTTATTGTTTAAGTATAACACACATTTTTCTTGCCCCCCCTAAAAATGTTTAGGGGGGGGGGTCAAAAAATTTTTCGCGCGAAATAATTCCTCCTAGCCCCCTCTAACCAAATGTCTAGTTGCGCGCCTGATAACATGTGTGCACACACCTGACACTCGCAGTGTCAAAAATATTTTTAGTTGCCGATCGCTATGTTCATCTAAACACTGCAAGATTGTTCACTGCAAACCAAGATGTGTAACGCTCTCACGAAAAAATCAAAAATGAATTGCCAATTACATCTTTTAAAGTTAAGATAGAAACAAGCGCATTGCATTTTTAAAATGTATATGTCTAGGGCTACAAAAAGGTATAAGTAAGTTGGTGAGGTAAGACCAAAGGCTAAGTCGTTGCGACGCTATGAAGTCGAGACTCTACAATTTTGAAGACTAACTCTCAGAGTATTGTATATATTTCAATGTGTTGCGTATTTCTACTGGTTTAAAAATTTTTTTTAACCTATTTACATATAAGCCTTCTCTGCTCTAATCCTTTATTTCTCAGCAAAAAGCCTTCTACGATGTTTCGGGCTCAAAACCTATTCCATTGAGGAAAATCTTTTGGTCAATAAAAATAATAAAATCAGAGGCGCAGAGGGAGGGGGCTTTGTTTTCTATCCAGGGGGGTTTAGTACCCGTTAGGTACTGAACACCCACTGAAAAGGGTATGGGCGCTGAGCCCCCATACCCTTTTAAATTCAACTTTACCAGTCTGAGCATAATGCTTCATTAGAAAGAATTTGAGAATAAAAACTTTAAAAATAGAGTATTTCACATTAAATGATAATATTTTAATATGGTTAAATGTTGTATCTCTTTATATTTGCTGGATATCTGACCAGTAACCATCTGCAGCAAAGTAATTTTTATGGGATTGTAATCGAAATTTCAAGTTACAAGCCATTGAGCTTCCTCTTATTAAAATGAATTTACCTGGAAATTGATTATTATTAAAATTCTCTATAAAATTAAATGCGGATTTACGCCGAAAGCCTGAAACAAATTTAGAGAATTCCTATCTTCTATACTAATTTAGGTTGGGTGTCTTGGTGTTTGTTTTGGTGTCCGTTTGTTTGTATCCAATAAACGTCAAAAAGACTGAACCGATCAGGCCAACATTTTGTGTAGGACATCACATGACCTCTGGGAAGGTTTATGAATGATCAAAATTTTAAAAATTTGAGATTAAAATTTTTTTTAATCTTGAAAATTCGCGATTTTTTTTCGTTTTTTAATGTTTTACAATGAGAACATGTTCACACTTGAAATAGAAGATGTGCGCGAAGCAACCTAAAAGCCTAGTTTCCATAAAAAATAAGGACATTATCATCCACATTTAATTAATAATGAGGATTGATGGGTAATCAAACATCTGACCATAGACAAAGATAGATTGCACATAAGACGACATTTTTCATCTTGAAAGATATAAATGTACAGAGATGTTTTAAAGATATTCCTATTATATAGATTAACTAGGTCGGTTGTGAACATTGGCTATATTTATGTCATTGAGTACTTGTGTACATGAGTTCTGTAGAGAGAAATCTATGTTAGTTTAGTCCTTCTCATGTCCCTTTTCAGTACTCGTCAATATGATATATTGCTCAGTGAAATATTGTTGTTCAAATAGTTCCATTCCCGGAGTTATTTTACACTCTAATTTGAAATCCATTAAAACACCAAACCACCCCGCTTATCAGTGAAGTACACTTTGACCCCTAGAAGTATGAGTTCGCGGACTGTACAATTCTTGGTGATTTTACTTACATAAGCTATCTATGTTTATTTATTTATCTATGCATGAATAAATTGAGAGTCCTAAAATTATTACTACAAACAGTCCCTTTAACTTTTAACTTTTTCAGAATCGCTCAATTAGAGATTTTTTCCCTTAAAATGAGAATTACAATTTTCCTTAAAATTTATTTTTATCTGTTTTATCACAATTAAATGTTTGACGACACTTAAATAAAATATTAGCAATGACAAATTATGCTTATCGGGTCCTCATTTCTATTTAATTTTCAAACTAGGACATGTTAACATTTCTTTTTAAACAAATTCAATTCAATTTGTATCTCATTACTTCCTCAGGACAGGATGCTTACACAAGATGTGGAGACTAGAGAGGATCTTGCCTGTCGAGTATCTTTGAAAAACAACACAGAGGTTGTTAGACAATGTGACTCCATCAATTGTATTGCATCTGGTATGTTAAATTTGGATGCTAACCAAAAAATGTCAGTATATTAGCTATTTGTTTTCTAAAAACCATGTTCATTTGAACGAAGTTCAAAGCATGGGTAAACAATTCAAAATATTTGTTCAAATCTCATCAAATGTAGCACTTTTGTAAGGAACTTGCATGTCTCTACCCAAATTGACTTCATATTCAGCATTTAAAAAGAACCTACCACTAACCTTAAAGGGAGTGACCGGCTATGTAAGGTAGTTGAACTGAGGACACAGTGTTGTGGAAAACTTCTTTAGGATTCATTTGAGACATATTTCACTTATTAAAAGTCTGTAATTCCTGAGCTTACGTGCAAATTCAACGTTCAAAACTCCGATTTGGGGGTGGATACGCTTTCAGAATTCGTTTTTTTTAAATTATTAACTAACGACGACATAAAATGTAAAAATAGTCTACAATAAACAGAAACTACAGACATCATGTTTAGGAACATTTTGAGAAAATAAAAATTAATGTTATCATCGAAAAGAAGTAATCTTGTTCAATTATTAGTTTCTATTATCTCATTATTCTAGTCACTTGTTATTCACAAAGATGTTCACAGATTCTTTGTAACTATTATTGAATACACGACATTTTAAGAAATTGAAGAAATCTGCGAATAAATTCAAAGAAAATTAGAAATTGAATATAATAATGAAAACAAAGTAATCGATTTTAGCATTGATTTATTGACAAATTTCTTTGTGAAATATCTTCCTAGCCATGTAATTAGATTACTGTTTTATTTTTACTTTGTTTTTCGTTGTCGTTATTTAATAATTTAAAAAAAATAATTCTGAAAACGTATCCACCCCCAAATCAGTAGTTTTGAACGTTGAATNCACAACACTGCATACTCCGTTCAACTACCTTACATAGCCGGTCTGTCCCTTTAAACAAATTATTTTGATTTCAGGGTGGGACGATCTCTCAGTTATCATTTGTGATTCATGTCAACAAGTCTTTAATATGATCTGCGAAGGGGAAAATTTAACTTCTCTGGAGATCTAAGGCCATGTAGATGCGGTACATCAGGACACATCTTTAGGTTAATGTGAAGAAAATTATTGTATGGAAATAGGCAACAGCAACCAAAGAAATGCTGCTTATTAAAGAACAATATTTTTTTTGGGTTGTAATGGAACTGTACATAGAAGGTAAATGGAATATTAGTAGATAGAATCACATGTCTGACTAACAACAGTACCCGTTAAAGCTTTTTCTGATCAAGAATGCATCAGATAATCAATTAACCACTGTTATTCATCATAAATTTTTCAATAAGGTTTCTTCAAAACTGATTCTCTCCCTCTGAAATTCACCTTTGTTGACAACTCTTCAAATAAAAACGTAAAATTTCGAATTTTTTTTTAAAATCATCCTTTTTACTGTTCCAGAGAAAACCTTTTTCAAATTCTTATTTGTCTAGAACGCTTTTCTGTCCCATTTATTTATATTTTAAACTTCTGCTACTATACATTTTGTAGAAAAATTTCAGTGCTTTTTCCCTCAATAAAAATAGGAGCATTTTCATTTATTATTTGATATGAAAAAATACGAATTGTCGAGAAGACGCAAAAACTTGAATTTGTTAAAAAATATTCTGCTGGCATCAACTTTTATTTTTGTTTTGTTAATTATGTATCATATATTTTCTCCATAGTCTTTCGTGGATTTATGGAACAAGTGAAAAAGCAGGAAATTGTCAAAATTCAACATTTTTAGAAAGAAAAAAGACGAGACCTTACTAAATGTTGCTCAGATAAGAGTTTAAAAAGTACATAGTTGTACATGTATGTACATGAAGTACATGAAGTACATAAAGTACATGAAGGGGTCACTTGTAGTTACGCCTACAGTCCCTTTAATCTATTGATAATAATGAATTATATTCTATTTATTATTTATCATCAATCTTACAACGACGAGTCAATTAAATCCATCATCTTCTCGATCAATTGGTTTATGCTCATCGCCACCTGAAACAAAACAATATATATTTTTTAATTTGGATATAAAAGGAAATGCAAAAATCTGTTCTAGATACAAGGTTATCCACAAAGGATGAGAGAGGAGACTTTAATGATGACCTTTCAGGGCCGTATTCAGGAATTTGTCCAGGGGGGGCTTAACATTTTTTTCTTTAGAGGGGGGGGGGGCTGAGCACCCCTTGGGACCTAAAAACCCACTGAAATCCATCGATTTCTCTGAATACACCTCTGACCTTTGTACTTCATTAAGCTTTTTGATGGTATATCAATTAAAGTACAGTCGTGTCTGAAGTTTCATCCATTGTGGGTAAACCTTCCAAGTTAAAAAGAAAATAAGAGCGTAAATAAATTAAGTAAAAGTTTTAAATGGAACTGCTCAAAGGAGGAACGGAGTGAAGGGCCGCCATGTGAGCCTCGCAAAATGGTCTCCAAGCCTCTGTATTCGCAGATGTATATTTAACTTGACCTGGCGCTATAGTTTCAGTAGAAGTAAATAATTCCATTTACTGATAGCACCGATTGAAGGATTTATATCTCTAATTTGATAATGAGTTAGATAGAAAGATAGATGTTACTGCCATACTATTTCTATTGGTTCAGAATAGACAACAAACACATGACTGAACCCTGATTGGATCAGGCGCTAATGGACTCTGCATACAGGAGTGATATTATAGAAGTAACAAATAATATTTTTAAAGAAAATATCTTATTTTTAAATAGTTATGCAGTGTTTTCTTGGATATCTAAAAAACGTTGCATAACTTACTATTAATTTATTAAATATGTTTTCTAAAAATGTTTATACAATACTTCATAATATCTATTCTTAAGGATAGGGATAGCGCCAGGTCATTTTATATACATATCTTATTACGTCTCTGCACTCCCTCCCTACTCACAGTCACAACTCGCACTCCTCACTTACAACTGTCATAATTTTTCTAGATGTTTTCAACTTTTAAATTTATAAAGAGATGTTTTTTCCCCCAGGACATGATCAGGTTGTTACGATCAAATCTTGGAATTTTTTCTATTGCGAAAGTTTTTTGGTGTTGTAGGGGTTTATGTATTGATCTGCCAAGGGTTGTAATCTGGCAGCGCATTCATCCGTCCACGCTTCATTTACTCTGAGAAGAGGGCTGACAAGATTCCAGCTGCCTAAGATTCTTCTTATGCCTGAGAATATAGAGTGCAGGAATCCTTCTGATATACTGGAATGAGGCACGGGTGCCACACTTACAGGAAACACGCTCATTGCTCCCTAACATCTATAAGCCCGAATTGGATACCTCCAGGTACCTATACCTGGCCACCATTGACTCTCCTTGCTTATTAACCTTTCCTCTCTTCATCATCATTCTCTTGGATCAATCCTTTTCAAGCTTCTTTCTTGTTAGTAGAAAGCACTCATCCTTTCGCTGTGAGAGATGTTGAGAGCCGCCCCTCTGTCCTCCCACATCCGTCAGGTGGTCATAACTGCTTAACCAGATGTTGGCTTCAGATGATTTTGAAACCACAGGTTCGTGTGGAGTACGGGAATCGAACCCGTGAACACCAGTCAGGACACCAATCCAGTTACTGGCTGTGGACAAGAGTGCTTAACTTCAGTTATCTAACGAGATTCAGATTTTTGTCGTATCTCAACCTGCTTAAGGGACAACATGCTTAATTGCTAGGGACCCTCAATGCAAAGATGACAATGCCCGACCTGATTTGGAACGGTAACCTTGTAACCTTTAGCTGATCAATAGTAAGAAGGATATTGTCGTTTTTTATTGTTTTAAAAGTGTTTATTTCTTTAAATTCCTATATTATTCTCCCATTTTAAAAATTATGAAAATGGATAATATGGATATCTAATTCATATTGGATCAGACTTAGCTTTCACTGGTACCGTTGTAAATCGAGCATTGTCATCTTTGCATGGAGGGTCACTTAAAGTTGGTATTACAGTCCCTTTAAACATCAAAATTCCTTTAACGTTACCTCCAAACTTTCATCAATAGACCCAGGTGTCGAAAGTAAATTGTTAGATGTGTCAAGATGAACCCCAGTCGAACCTATAACCTAAAGAATGAATGATAAATTAAATTCTTTATCTTACATTTTATTTTCTATTGTGTAAATTTCACTTAACCATACTTTTTTCAGCAAGTGGGATTAATTGTTTAGTATTTGCAATTTACTCTTCTATTAATTATAAAGCTTTTGTTTTGATGTTTGATGTTCCATGGATAATACATGAACAGGAAAAAAAAGAAAAAAGAAATATAAATGATGTGTAACAAGAATAGGATCAATTGTTCAAAGACGTGGCAGCAGACTGCAGAGTGAAAACAACATTGTAAATGTGTCTACAATCTACAATCTACAATCTACAATCATCTACAAATCATCTATTTAATTTAACATGTTAAAAATACAAACTGTTTTCACTTAGAAAGAAAACGAAAAAAATCATAAAAAATGATTCCTTGTTGTACCTTAGCACCAAGTAGTTCTGCTATATCACTGAATCCTGATTCATCAGCTTCCCCGAAGGTTACTTCAACATCCTAAACAGAAAAACACGAATAAATTTGATTCTTAAATCTTCACAGCATATGTCTGAAGCTTACAACCAGGAATCAGTATGAAATTTTCTAAACCCTGTTGGCTGTTTGCTATCAGAATTGATAGTTTACAATATCGAAGTTCTAAGGTTTCATCAAATCAAATCAAATCAAATTATCTATATTTGGCACGCTAATATTAAATAATAATCTAAATAGTTGGTTCAATTACATAAACGATTAATAATGTGCACAGGATGACTTGATAGCGCAGAGCTGTTTTTATCTTGTCCTACTTCATGTTGCAAAGATATAAGACTAAAAAATTATTGTTCAGTGTTTCTTTTAACAAGTTTGATGAAAACCTCTTTGTGCTGGTTTTACATACGCCATTATTCTCTATATTTTACTTGCCAGTCTGTATTTTTGTATCAATAAATGTCAAAACGGCTGAACCGATCGGGCCATTTTTTTTAATCAAAGGAATTTTGAGCCGAAAAATCCTTTAAATTTTTTGTATAATTTACAGAGTACGATAGAGTTGGCAAGTTGAAAAGAATGAATTGTCTAAAAAACCTGGTGTAGTATGCAATTGTGTATACCTTGAATACTGCAGCTAAGAGTAGAATACCATGTGATATAGCTCCAATATATCTATATATACCTTAAATACTGCAGCTAAGAGTAGAATACCATGTGATATAGCTCCGAAATATCTATATATACCTTGAATCCTGCAGCTAGGAGTAGAATACCATGTGATATAGCTCCGATATATCTATATATACCTTGAATACTGCAGCTAAGAATAGAATACCATGTGATATAGCTCCAATATATCTATATATACATTGAATACTGCAGCTAGGAGTAGAATACCATGTGATATAGCTCCAATATATTTATATATACCTTAAATACTGCAGCTAAGAGTAGAATACCATGTGATATAGCTCCGAAATATCTATATATACCTTGAATACTGCAGCTAGGAGTAGAATACCATGTGATATAGCTCCGATATATCTTTATATACCTTCAATACTGCAGCTAGAAGTAGAATACCATGTGAAATAGCTCTGATATATCTATATATGGCTCAGTAACATTTTGCCTAGTACAAGTTCGCCTAGTACTCTTTCGCCTAGTACATGTTCGCCTACTAACTTTTTGCCTAGATAACATTTTGCCTAGATAACATTTTGCCTAAACACAGTTTGCCTAGACAACATTTCGCCTAGATAACATTTTGCCTAGATAACATTAGAAGGTAATTTTCGCCTAGATAAATTCACTAAAATTTATAAAGTTCCTCTTTTTTCTCAAGAAATTCAATTAAAAGCAGAAAAAATGTATTATAATAATGTTTACAAATTTTCAATGCCAGTAGAAAACTGAATGATTTAAACTACAAAAAAAAATTGTGAAATTTTTATAGTAAAAATTGCGTACTTTTTTTGTTCCAAAAGCTGGTTAATTTGAAGAATGTTAATCTAGGCGAAAATTACTCTCTAATGTTATCTAGGCAAAATGTTATCTAGGCAAATTGTTATCTAGGCGAAATGTTGTCTAGGCAAAATGTTATCTAGGCAAAATGTTATCTAGGCGAAATGTTGTCTATGCAAAATGTTATCTAGGCAAAATGTTATCTAGGCGAACTTGAACTAGGCGAAAGTGTACTAGGCGAACTTGTACTAGGCGAACTTGTGCTAGGCAAAATGTTACTGAGCCCTATATATACCTTGAATACTGCAGCTAGGAGAAGAATACCATGTGAAATAGCTCCGATATATCTATATATACCTTGAATACTGCAGCTAGGAGTAGAATACCATGTGATATAGCTCCGATGGGTTTATGAGCTTCATGAAACTGATTTAGAAAAGAAACAACATCTTCATCAACTTGTAGAGAAGGCTCCATGAATTAATTAAGATTTAAAAAATAGGTTAATAGTGATTTCCAATATAATGTGGAATGATCGTGTTCTTGTACCATAAAATAGGGATCATGACTAGTCTAATGAGCAATATAACGCTCGCGAAACCATTTAAAAAATATAATCATTATGATCAAAATTATGAACATGATGTTTAAAATTATAAACATTATGTTCAAAAATATAAAAATTATGTTCAAAATTATAAACATTATGATCAAAATTATAAAGATGATGTCCAAAATTATATACATGATGTTCAAAATTATAATAAACATTATGATCAAAATCATAAACATGATGTTCAAAATTATATACATGATGTTCAAAATTATATACATGGAGTTCAAAATTATAAACATTATGATCAAAATTATAAACATAATGTTCAAAATTGTAAACATTATGTTCAAAATTATGATTATGATGTTCAAAATTATAAACATTATGATCAAAATTATAAAGATGATGTTCAAAATTATGTACATGATGTTCAAAATTATAAACATTATGATCAAAATCAGAAACATGATGTTCAAAATTATATACATGATGTTTAAAATTATAAACATTATGATCAAAATTATAAACATAATGTTCAAAATTATAAACAAAATGTTTAAATTATAAACATAATGTTCAAAATAATAAACAAAATGTTTAAATTATAAACATTATGTTCAAAATTATAAACAAAATGTTAAATTATAAACATTTTGTTCAAAATTATAAATATTAAGTTAGAAATTATTAACATTTTTCTATAAATTATAAGCATTAAGTTCAAAATTATAAACATTAAGTTCAAAATTATAAACATTATGTTCAAAATTATAAACATTAAGTTAGAAATTATTAACATTATGCTAAAAATTATAAGCATTAAGTTCAAATTATAAATATTATGTTAGAAATTATAAACAGAATGCTAGGTAAAAATGACTCTCTTACACGCTGTTCGCAAGATGTTTACAATTTCGGTGAGTTCGATAATATAAATATAAAGTTAGGTTTTTTTCTACTTCAGTGTTGAAAGAAAAGTTAATTTAAATTTTTACCTCTTTTTTGACGAAGGACAAAATATTAGAAATATTTTTGAGAATTCCTCCGCCCCCCGGTATCAACAAACCATAAGTTACAGACATATCTAGCTCCTAGCATAAAAACATGAAAATAATTTGCGAGTTTTTAACGCTTTGAGCTTCAAAACGCATGTTATTCAAGTCTTAAAGAAACACTAGTCATAATATCAATAACAATGATATACTCTACAACTTGTATTATAAATCCATGTATCCTTAATAAAGTTTTCTCTATAAACAAAAATTTAACATTTACATGTCAAATTATTTATGCCTTGCTCTCTTGAAAAAACAATGCAAAATTTCCTCTAGCTTCTCCCCCAGGTATCCAGCTTACAACAATATGAACACGAAATAAATAAAAGTAGTTTCAATCTCAAGTGTTCTATTCACAACGGATCCCTTTAAACCTTTATCTAAACAATATTGTGGAAAAAACCGTCGATTTTTCAGCTTAAAAAGTGTTTGGTATCCCTCATTTATTTACTCATTTTGTAGAGAAACACAACTGAAAATAATCCATTTTCAAAAAGAAGATGGATATCTCACGCATTCTTGATTGAACAAATCTTTAAAAGGTGCTGTTGTGAATTCTATATGCCACTTAGTAAAGTGTAAATTCATTCATACAACTTTACATACAGTAGCAGTTAATTATATCAATACAATGAAGACGACTTTTTATTTAAGTTTTGATTGTCAACAAGTTTTTTTGAATTGCACGTTTGCAAGTAATCAAAGAGAAGCTTGACAGCTTCTCTTGTAACTATGTTTTTGTATATCCATCCTGTTTATCAGCTTGATATAAAATCAAAATTGAAATCGAAAGTAGTCTTCATTGTATTGATATAATCGCCTACAATTGTAAATCGCATGATTATATAAAAGGAAGAATGACCTCTAAAAGGTTGGGTCGACCTCCAACTATCCTCGCAGATTCTACAAACATGTTCCGAGAACATGTTTTCTTGTCGTCTTCTACTCATCATTATTCAAGCTTTTTTCAGGGATAACCATAAAACTTTATGATACAGTGAAACCCTTAATAACGAATACATCGGAAGAATTTATCAAATGTCGTCGTGACAATTTTTCAATGAGTTTTATACTATACTTGGTAAATTTCAGTATTTTCGAAAATAAATAAATAGCCATGAATATGCGGTATCAGTTTTAAAGAGTTTCATATAATAATTTAATTAAAAAACTAAATATCTGCAACATTCCATTATCAGAAAATGAAGAATACGACATTTGATGAATTCTTTCGATGTATTCGTTACTAGGGTTTCACTGTAGGAAGACGACATTAGAGTAATACTGAATATCATTTGATGTTGTTAAAAGAAACTAGTTGTAGTTGTAAATTATCAAATCATTATTTAGTAATATGGGTTTGTTTACACTGCACAATTGCTGTGTCTCATGTTCATTGGACTATTTAAAGTTATAACTTGAGTCTAAAAGTCGTCTTCCTATTCCAAAGTTTTCTTGTTATCGCTGTATGATTGTTCAAGATAACAACAATTTTCAAGTTTTATAAAAAATCTTTTCATAAATGAGAGGCAGAATCAATAAAGATTTGTGCAATAATTGTCAAGTCTTTTCCACAGTTTTATGTGTCCCACTGTATCAATAAACTTTTTTTCAAATAATGAATATTCCTGAACAGCTTGTCATAACAGCAGGAACTAGATGATTAATAACCTCGGCTTGATCCTAGAAAATATGATTAATAACCTCGGCTTGATCCTAGAAAATATGATTAATAACCTAGGCTTAACCCTAGAAAATATGATTAATAACCTGGGCTAATCCTAGAAAATATCTTTAAAGGGACTGTAAGTCTAATTTCAAGTGAAACTCAAAGTTATTATGTCAATGCCCGATTCAAAATGGTACACCTAAAAACCTTTATCTGATCAATAATTTGGAAAATATAGTATTTTTTAGGCTTAAAAGTGTTTATTTCTGATAATAAATAAATGTTTTCCTGTAGCAGAAATGCGCGAGTCACTTTTGTAGAGAAAACAAATTGGAAAATAATCTGTTTTCACTTGAAATTACGCAAACAGTTCCTTCAACTTAATTTCAAGGTATCCGCTAATTATAGAGTTGTATAACCGGTTATCGATGGTAAACTTAAAACCTTAATCTGAGAAAGAACAAGGAAGAAATCGCCTTTTTTACCTTAAATCTGAATTTGATTTCTTTCATTTTCATTTTTTGGCTTTTCTGCATAAATCCTCAGGTCACGATTTAGAGAAACCACGATAGAATTGATGGAAAATCAAGAATATCTTTCTCAGAGAAGTTGTTTTAGACGGCACCGTTTTAAATCGCCTACAGTCCCTTTAAAGGGAGTGTCTGGCTAGATTTTGTAGTTGAGTTGCACGTATTGTAAAAATATTTTTTTTGGGGTGAAGTAATCTTATTCAGTTATCGGTTTCTGTAAAGTCTCATTTTTCAAAAACATTTTCGTAGATTTTCTGGAATTTTTATTGAAAATACGACATTCGTAGAATTTGAAGAAATCTGCAAATAAATTCATAAAGAATAAAAAACTCATTGTACCAATAAAAAAGAAATAATGGTTCCTAACATTGATTTATTGACAAATTTCTAGTAAGAAATATGTTCCTAAACATTTTATTATTTTACTGAAAAATATTTTTACATTTTTCGTCGTCGCTATTATTAATTTAAATAACAAAACCGTAGAATCGTCTCATAGGTCTCAAATTAATCCTACGATACTGCATTCTCAGCTCAACTACTATGTCTAGCCAGAGACTCCCTTTAATTAGAAATGGCCTTGCCTTATCAAGTGAGTAGAATACAGGTAGAAACCCAACAGCAGTAACAGCTGCTTTACAGGCAAATGCTTCATGTATATCTGTACCATCATGAACTCCACAACCTAGAACAATACTCATAGTTTTCATAGTTTACCCTAGAAATACAGTATGAACCCATAAAGCTGTGGAATTGGAGTACGACTGAAGACTGCTAAACTCAAGTTTTAATTTTAAATATTCTGATGAGCATTTTACATTCAGACGTTATAAGTTAATTTTGAAGCTACTGGCAAAACTATTTGCTTGATAAAAAAATAAAAAAAAATATATATATACTCTGCTTATCTGTTTGTCTACCGGGGTTTTATATACAACAAACGTCAACACGGCAGCACCGATCGGGCCCAAATTTGGTGTGGGACTTCACATGTCCCCATAGAAAAATTATAGATGATCGAATTTTTAGAAATTTGTCTCCAACAAAATTCGATTTAAAAAAATTATAAATCCGCGACATTTTTTGTTTGTTTTTGTTTTACAACGTATACAAAGAGAAAATGTTCACAATTGAAAAAGATGACGGGCTCGAAGCGTCCTAAAAGCCAATAACTTAAGATTGAGTAAATTCGTCATCCTAATCCACCTTTCTATGGGTTCCACTGAATAACAGATGTTGAATGTGAGAGTAGGAATAAAATGTGAATAGTCAAAGTTGCCTATGTAAAAAAATACAAAATGTCCCAATTAACTAAGAAAATAGCGTATTTTTTTTTGCATTGTTAAAAGCTTATGTATAAATACAAGTACTTGTATTATTCAAAAATTCGTAAATTATTATTATTTAATTAAAGATCAGAAAAACTTTCAGATAAACTCGCGACAGCTATAAATTAAATGTAAATAATTATTATTTCTCTCTTCGTTTTGAGAATTTGAGATGCTTCGAGAGAAATACTAATTCTTTGCTTCACATGCCTTCTTCAGCATATCAGTGACAAAATAAACATAGAACTCAATGATTCATCACCTATCAAAATCTTTGCTTTACTGCCAATTAGGAGAGAGATTGCTTATAAAACGAATTCAGACTACGAACTGCAACTGGCAACGGAATGGGCTCAGCTTGAGAAGCACGGATAGACCATCCAAAAATCTAAACATGTAGTGGACGTAGTATGAAGACGTTGTAAGCAATTCTCTCCTTAATATACTTCAACTACCGCCGCGCTCCTGAATTGAATTGCTGAATTGAATCAAATCCCTCTGAAAACTGCGCGAAAACTGTGTAAAATTATCAATAAACGCTTGTATCCAGCAGTCAACTTCAACTTTTTACTAATTACATGAAAACAGCTAAGAAATTCCGTCCTCCATTTGCAAACGCTTTTAAGACATTGACGAAAAGTTTGTTTCTTTTTCCACTGAATTGATTGCGAAGTCAAATTTGGCTACTTATTTGATTAAAAATTATGGCATCATCGATGATTTATGGCGACACGTCTGTTTGTTGTAACTAAGATGGCAACTCGCCTAATTCAATAAATAGCGACGCGCCAACATGATTTAGTCAAATATTTATGGCGACCCGCCTTTTGATGCAACATATGCTAACCTGCAGCGACACGACGTCTATATTTTTTATTAACATTTATCAAGGCGAAACGCCTGGATCTATGCTATCGTCAGTCATTAAAATAAATTCCGTCCTCCTCTTGCAAACGCTTTTTAGATACTGACAAGTGACAATATGCAGTTTGTTTCTTTTGCCACTGAATTAATTGCGGAGTCAAGTTTAGCTAAAGAATTCGTATAATTATAATTATGTATTGCAATTGCAAAAGTCTAACCTGTCAGCAAAATAGCTATCTCCCTCTGAGCCATTTAACATCGATATTCTGAAATTATTTCTCACAAGTTTAGATTTCCAACATAACTCTACCGTGTAACGTGATAGATCTACAAAAGTAACAAAACCCGCAACATTTTGTGAATATTTTGTTTCTGTGAAAAGTGTACTCTGATCCAGAATACCCAGGTGTACAGTGTGACCTTTTCCAGCAAAACCATCCAAGATATTAGAATACTCTCTAGCCAGGACTACCACTTACCAGGACAGAACATTATAATAAAAAAACCATATATATTGGTTAATGCTGCAGATTTAAGAATTGCGTGCAAAGGACTTACGACTGCTTTTATATAGTGGAAATCTCATACCCAGAAAATTTGGGGGGGGGGGGCGTATATATATTGCAGTGCATTCGATGTTTTACATTCCGTAGATTTGGTGTTTCGTCTACGTGGTCTACTCTAGTGTATCTTAAAATATATAAAAACCATTGATTCAAATTATACAGCCTGGATGGTGCTTTGCATTCTATTGACATGATGACGTCAAACTTTTACGTCATTTTCACAGTGAGGCATAGTATGGGATTTCACACATTATAGTTTATCAAGACAGATATTTTTCCTGTTTTGCACTAGGGTTTCTTTCCCAATTAAGCATGCTATTGAGAAGCTATTCTGAAAATAGGAACAAAAAATTCCAAATTCAGGGGGGGCCAATTTCCCCCCGCCTCCCCCCCTGTATCCGCCCCTGACCAGAATAAATTTCTTCTTTTAATTCATATCAGATGTGTTGACTTACTGAATATCAGGTTTGTAAGGTTAGTTTTTTATTGTTTAAGTATAACACACATTTTTCTTGCCCCCCCCTAAAAATGTTAAGGGGGGGGCCAAAAAATATTTCCCCCTAGCCCCCCCCTAACCAAATGTCTAGTTGCGCGCCTGATCGCCCTTAACTTTGATACATGGGGGGGGGGGTGCTCCCAATCCTGTACAGGATTAATTTACGTTGACGGTCCCTTAATGAACAACATGATTCATATCTGAAATCCTTGGGCTTCGCGGAATAAAGATCTTTCAAAGAAATTTTAAAAAAGAAACAAAACACTAGATTCCGTGGATATTCTCAATTAACTGATTCTAAGAATGAGATTAATTAATTTTAAATTAAATTTTCGAAGTCCTACGGTTAGAACAGCAAAATTCAATGTAATTCTCGGTTTTAATTTTTTAAAATGAAATTAAGTGTAAATTGCAACTGAACCGATCTCTAACTTCCAGACTGCAACCTGTGTGTGATGTTGTTAATCTTGAATTTGATCTCGATACCCAAGGTGGGTACTTTTAAATTTGAGGATCACCGATCAATGCTTGATCATGCTCCCTCAATTAAATATATTCCGGCAGTATATGTATCGTTTTAGAGGAATTAATTCGTAGCTGTCTGCACAAGATAGTGATCAATGGTTGATCTACAGGCCGATGATGAATTTTAATTCTAGGGCTGAGTACGAATGTAGATATATAATCAATTAAAAAATGTCAATCATAACTTAGTAGAAGCTTGTGAAGCACTGTATGAAATGAGAGGCACTGAATAAACGACTGAATCCGTTCTTCTCTATTTACAATAGAACTGCTTTCCACTTAAGCTCTTTAACATACAGGACTGTGACTCCTGTGACTCACCTACTTCCTTCGATAAAGTTACATCGTCTATACGTGATATCCCCTCTACTGAACTTCTTACCTACTGTATTCGAGTCAGATTAAGAAAATTTTAGGGCAGAGCGCCGCTGTCCAATTACAGCTGTAAAACCACGTGTTAGTAGGTCGGTAGTGTAGTATAACCCATGTGACGTAGATCGGAAAAGTGGAGTATAGCGGATCATGCGTTGGTCGAAAAATACACAATCCTAACCTCAGGTAGATTAAAAAACTCGAGTTTTAGTTTTTCATTTAGAAAATATTTTTTTAGTAAGATTGTTGTAATTGAATAAATACTAAAACTAGAAGTAAATATGAAATAGCTAATAGGACTCAGTCGGCTCGCGAACATGCATCCTGATCAACACTGCTATGATCGGCAGCTCCCAGCTGGCTCATCAAAAATCACAATGGCAAACTCTTCTGTCAGTATTTAATTCTTTTTCATTCTCTTTTTTAACTTTCCTAAAATGATCATCCCAGGTTTAATGAGTCTTGTACTTCTTTGGAGTTAATTAAGTAACTATAGTGGTTTGCATATATATATGGAATTTTGCTTGAAATAAATTTAAACAATAAAATTTATGATCCAGAATGAGGAAGTATTTGTACATTAAACCGGAAATAGCAGTGAATCCCGTTTATTAAGTAAAATATGAAGAGAGTCCCCAATATAGATATCATCTTTGTTTAAAATACATTTAAAAATTTCTTAAACCAACAAGTTAGAAATTTTAAAATTTGAGATTAAGAAGATATCTGTATAACTAAAATATTACGATACCTCTCGTCAACTTGAATTAAATTGAATGTAAGAATAAAATCGTGTTTGTCTTCAATCATGACTCCTTTCTTTGGAGAGCTATTGATATAACAACAAAAATGTTGTGAATTTCTAATGTCACCAGAAAAATCTGATTTTCTCGTACACGCAAACGACTTTCGGTTTAAATTTTGACGAATATCAAGCTTCTAAACAGCAAGGAACATGAAAACGAAGAGAGACTGTGAATTTAAAAAGCAGAAAGTTTGAGATTAATCAAAAATTAAATAACAAGTAGTCTTGATTGTATTGATATAATCACCGATCACGGAAATTCAAAGCTTCCATCCAAAATGTAATAATAGTGTTCAGACTAAAGAGCTTCAATGGATATATAAATTTAAAGAATAGTACGCGACTATTCTGATAAAAATTTAAAAACCATATTACATCAGAAATCTCCCAACCGCACCGGGGCAACCAAAGAAAAACAAAGTGTACAGTAACATCAGCGTATTTTCAAGTTACGCTCCAAGTCCAATATAGAGTTCTGATGAAGCATGAATAGGAAGATATATTTAATTAAATTTTATTTCTTTATATTTAGGCTAGAGATAAAAGTTTTAGTTTAGAAACCTGTGGCCGAATTTAAAGAATTTGAGCGGCGGTTTAAATTTAAGCCGCGGCTAAAATATGGTTGGTTCCACTTAAAATTGTATCAAATGTTTCAAGATTTAAGCCGGCGCTAAATTTAAACCGGGTTTTGGCGCATTTTAACCGCGGCTCAAATTCTTTAAATTCCATCTCTGTATATCTTAATTTGTGGGTTTACTTTCGATGACTTGAACATTTCAAGCCAGTAAGCGACATTATCTTCTAGATGACATGGATAAAATTAAGATGCTGTTGTGAATCTGGGATGCCCCTCTTCATATCAAGACGACAGTACCTAATCTTGGCCAAAATATGAACTCTAACAATCCACCTATGTTCCGAATACAGAGCTGTGTTCTAGCGTGCAATTTGCATGCATTTTATAGAATCGGTTATAAAAAAAGACACAGATTTAAATTAAAGTTCTTTAAATTTTAATTTCATCAAAAAAAATAGTTGTATCAAAATAAAAATTTATTGTTTAACTAAGTTGGTTTCATTTTCTTCTTCTTAACTGAAGATTTGTTGTGTTCTCGGTTACTGCTGGAGGAAGATTTGCTGGATGTATCACGTGACGGGGTGGCGGAAGATTTCTTCTCCTGGGCAGGAGCCGGGGAAGAAAACTTCTCCTGGGCTGGAGCTGGGGAAGAAGGAGCAACTTTCTGTTTCTTCTTTTGTGGTTTAGGAGCGTCAAGGAGTTTAAGAGCTTCAGCTTTCTGTTTCTTACTTTCCTTTCTACTCTTCTGTTTCTCCTTAGTTGATCCTTTCTTTCCTGGCGCATCCTGGGTTAGATCATCAGGGTTTATTTTACCTTTCTTCTCTTCCTTCTTCTCTTTATTCTTCGGAGATTCAGATTTATCTTTTTTCTTCTCCATGTTTTTATCCTTTTTAGGACTTTGTTCTCCTTCGGATTCAGTTACCTCAACTCCTTCATCCTCCTCTTCCTCATCTCCTTCTTCGTTCTCCTGCTTCCCCTTCTTCTCCTTGTCTCCAGGAATACTGTTGGAGATCTTCTTAATCTTTGCAACAAAGAATCCGTCCATGTTGTGTGTGTGGGGATAGTATCGCCTGATCAACAAATATTCTCAAATAAGTAAAAAAATAATAAATATTAATTTAATATAATTTTTTCCGTAGGATTATTCAAAATTTTTCTTGACGTTTGTGCAGTTCTAGCCAGGAGCCAACATTAAGAAAAAGACGATGCATTTAAACCAGAATATGTTGTTTGTGTTTACAATAGTAGGTCAAGTCTAGATTGAAATTGGGAGATTTTTAATCCTAAAAATTAGCAAATTTTCATCTTAATTTGCAGATTTTAACCCTGAAGTGAAATATTTCACCCCTAAGTGATAGACTTTTTTCCCTAAGTGACAGATGTTTACTCCCCAAGTGGCAGATCTTTTCCAAATCTGAAATTAAATCTCTGCCAAAAGGATAAGCCTTACTAAAGAAGTGAAATAGTTTAAAATGTTAAGAATATTTCCTGCAAAGGTTCATTGTTGGATGATATCTGTGCTCTCTGTACTTTGTGAACCCCTCAACTCCAAAATCCAGGCCGGTAGGAACCTTTAACAGTTTATTATGAATTATTATTAAGAAAACAAAGCTACTTGTAACCGGTACCTGAACAGTGAACCAAACTTTTAACTTCTTAGATAACATCTATATTTTAAAAAGTGTTCCAGTTTTTTAGTTTATTACTATTTTTAAATTAATCTCTTTTCTAAATGAGAATGAAAAAACTTGGATTAAAAAATAGAAAAAAAGTTGCTCAACTAAAAATTATGAAAAATATTAAATTGCATAAATAAGTGGCCATCAAATTCAATTCAGAACTATAAAAAGATGAATCTAAGTTAGATGAGAACATTTTTTTTAGAAATCATAATGCCATTCAGTACTTGAAGATTTATTTCCGCCATGAAGATTCAAACTTACAAGTTTACAGTGTCTCTTCTTCAGGATGTAATCCACCACGTTCTCGTTTTCTTCCGGTAGAATAGAACACGTGGAGTACACTAGATATCCTCCAGTCTTAGACTTAGCATCCTACAATATAATACAATACAGTACAGTAGACTAGATAGTATATACCCTCCAGTCTTAGACTTAGCATCCTACAATATAATACAGAACACTAGATATCCTCCAGTCTTAGACTTTGCATCCTACAGTACAGTACAGTACAGTACAGTACAGTACAGTACAGTACAGTACAGTACAGTACAGTACAGTACAGTACAGTACAGTACAAGAAATCATTGATATCTATTCATTCTCAATCAGATTTTTAAGGATAACGTTGTGAATCGGACTTGACAGTACAGTACAGTACAGTACAGTACAGTACAGTACAGTACAGTACAGTACAGTACAGTACAGTACAGTACAGTACAGTACAGTACACTAGATATCCTTCAGTCTTAGACTTGGCTTCCTACAAAATAATAAAGTACAGTACACTAGATACCCTCCGGTCTGAGACTAAGAATCCTACAATATATATAGTTCAGTACAGTACACTAGATACCCCCAGTCTTAGACTTTGTATTCTACAATATAGTATAAGTACAGTTGAACACTATAATACAGAACAGTCGAGTAAGATTGAGCCAAGTTTGGTGTAGTCCAAAACATATTGAAATTAAAACTCGCAAAAAAAGCGATTAAATTCTTTTTTCACTCCCTGAAGAATAATATAATTATTTGATAAAATAGTTACCAAACAATCCAAGGCTGCAACTATAAGCTCCTTCTGTAGATGAGAACAGAGATAAATATCTTGATTATCCTTTCCTGTCTTAGCACTTGGATCCTTACTGATAACTCCAGTTCCTATAATAAACATATCTTGATTATCCTTTCCTGTCTTAGCACTTGGATCCTTACTGATAACTCCAGTTCCTATAATAAACATATCTTGATTATCCTTTCCTGTCTTAGCACTTGGATCCTTACTGATAACTCCAGTTCCTATAATAAACATATCTTGATTATCCTTCACTGTCCTAGCACTATGATCCTAACTGATAACTCCAGTTACTGGAATTTAACAGTGCAATAAATATTCAGAGATTAAAACTTGTAATGTTTTCCATAATGCGCTCAATCTATGTCCCTTCCCAAGGAGCGGGGGAAGGCAGGCGGCCATGAGCCACCACAATTTCCCCTTCCGTGCCACATATTAGCTTTTTTTCTTCCGTCAGCCATGAGCCACCACGATTTCCCCTTCCGTACCACCACATTTGACTCTTCAGGGCATAACTACTTTTTTTAAAGGGTATATTTAGGGCCTTTAAAATCCAGCCGCGTCACGCAATAAAAGCACAACTCAAACTATTTCTTCAATTATACTTAAGATTAATATTTTGTGTGTTGAATTCAACTGTTTAACACTGAAATTTTTAACAAATTTGACTGAGTATTGCATCTTGAAATATCACAAAGTTGGTTAATGAGTGATTTTAAGATGGATTTAGTATTATGAGTCAGTAATTGAATAATCATTAGACTTTGAGGCTCATGGCTGCCGGAAGAGATAAAAGCTAATATGTGGCACGGAAGGAGAAATAGTGGTGGCTAATGGCCGCCTGCCTTCCCGCGCTCTCCCAAGTAGGTTTATCAAAGTCTTCTTTAAATAATTTAACAAATTTCATTTAATTGATAAGGACTTGCAACTACTTAATCAAATCCCCCGGGAATTTACTTCACAACTAAAACTGGCTCCACAGCAGCTCCTTCAAGATCAAATCTCTGATAAAAGAGAGATCCAGTTAAAATAGTTTTTAATCCGAAGAAATATGCAATCCAATTTTTTAATCCGACAAGATATAATCCTACCTGAGCAAGGAGCGTCTAGAAGAACCCTGTCAAATCCCTTCATAACTCCTGGAAGCTTTCTCCCGTCCTCGTTACAAACTACAGTATTGGTAATTCCTAATCTATGAAGGTTTCCAACAATAGCTTTACATCTAGCTGCGTTAGCGTCATTAGCCAACAGCATTCCTAAAATATTATATATTAAAGGGACAGTTTACTATTTATTTGCTAATTTGAATATTAAATTTTTCACAAATCTAAATAGATATTTTTGCTCAGACATGACATCCAGCTTTAAACCTTACTTGAGCAAGGTAACTTAAAGGGAGTGACCGACTATGTAATGTAGTTGAATAATTAAAAAAAAACCAATTCTGAAAACGTATCCACCCCCAAAGTAGGAGTTTTGAACGTCGAATTTGCGCTCAAACTCAGGATTTACAGATCTTTGAAAAGTTTAATATGTCTGAAATGAATCCGAAAGAAGCTTTCCACAACACTGCATACTCAGTTCAACTACCTTACATAGCCGGTCACTCCCTTTAAACATAACTTTTTGTTTAAGTAATCTTAAATTATGTAAATTACAATAGTATGTTTGACAAATTTAATTTGTGTGTTGAACGTCACTTAAATTTATTATGCTTATTTTGGTTTCTTGTGACATGTTCAAAATTAGATACATTTCAATAATTCCTTTTAATGAGTCAGAAGGTTTACCTGTATTTTTCATAAGAGCCGCTATATGAGTAGTTTTTCCTCCTGGGGCCGAGGCCATATCTAGGATCCTCTCTCCCTCCTGGGGGGCCAGGGCCATCACCGGCAACAAGGAGGACGCACCCTGGAGGATATAATGTCCTGCCAGATACTCAGGGGTGGCGCCAAGCGGCACTGTTGCACTGTACACAACCAACCCAACCTTGGACCACTTTCCAACCGGATCTAGATTCACTCCGCGCGCAATAAGCGCCTGCGCAAGATCTCTCCTGCGCGTTTTTAAACTGTTTGTGCGAATAGTGACTGGACGCTGAACCTCATTGGCCTCCAGGACCTCGACAATCTCTCCGACGGGGAAAATGTTGAGGAACTTCTCGATCATGAACTCGTTGTAGGAGTAGTAGGTGCAGAGGTCTCGCTTGAGGCAGGCCAAGTAGGATTGACGATCCCGATCCGGTTCTCGCCGGTTTCTGAAATGAAGAATACAAATTTGAAAAGATGTTTTTGATTTTGTTGAGAAAAATTTAAAACATTAACTGAACTACAATTTTGACAAATTTGTAAACTTCCTTACAAATTTTGTAAATTTCCCCACAGGCTAAAATTTGTCTATTTCACCACAATTTTGTTTGTTCCTGATAAAAAAGCTTGACACCGCTGAAGTTTCCGACTTACTTGAAATCTTTGAGAACATGAATGATATCTCGCATCCTGGACTGTATAATCTGAAGGTCTGGGGGCTGAGATTTCTCTTTCTCTATTTCTTGACCTGAAAACATCAAATACCTTATGAAATGATAATATTTAATAGAACTAAGAATTATAGAAAAACCACCGACATTTTTTGAGAGTTTAAATCGCCGTATTGTCAAAAATAATGAACTTTTGAGTAAGAAGTAGGATAAAGAACACATCCCCCCACTGAGAAAAAACGTACAAACCTGACGGAAGAACAAACTTCTCTGTCTCTGCAATATTCATCTTCAATTCGGCTTCGGAGGCCTTCAGCATCTTCTTCTGCTTCTTCTCCAACCTCCTAGACTGCTTCTCAATATCCATCTCTTCGTCACTGTCACTAGGGAACTCTTTCTCATTCTCAGATTCTGGTTCAGAATCAGAATCAACATCAGAATCAGAGTCCGGAGCTTCAACTCCGTTCTCCTCGGCCTCAACTTCATCTGTATTCTCATCTTCTTCATCCTCATCATCCTCCTCTTCGTCTTGTTTGTCGTCCGATTCCCCCAGGGGCAGTTTACGCTTTTTAGTAGAGGGTTTCAACCACGCTGCATTTTCGTCAGTAAATCCCTGGTAAATAAAATATCAAAACCGTTGCAAATTGAAAATAAATTCTGGTGAATATCAGTTCTTGAAAAAAAAAGTTTGTCCAAATATTTTCCCCACGACAATGATAAAGCAAAGATTAATTTAGAACGGAAGCGTCAACTTGAGAAGTTTCATACCATTCCTTTTCTCATCACTTTAGCGATTAAGCTTTTCACATTATAGGGAGACAAATTATGAGCTGATGGGTGGGCTGACAACGTACAACGATTTAACACAGCTTGTTATAAAATATTCTCCGAAATTTAAAAAAATCATAAAAAACGGGAAAATCTGTAGTTACTTCTCATGTTTTTTTTGTTGTTCAATAGTAAATAATTTACCTCTGCTACATCATCATCAGATTCTACGTCCGATTCATTTTCAATTCCTTCATCACTCACTTCCTTCTCGACCTCCTTCTTCTTCTCCCTTTTCTCCTCCTTAGTTTTCTTCTTCTCTTGGAAAACTCTCTTCTTGTCTTCCCTCTTCTTCATTCGTTTCTTCTGATTACTGTGAAGAGGTCTGTCTTTGTTCAGATCAGGCTGAAATACAACAAAAATTGAGATTTCGCGCACAACATTTTCAGGTAGCAACTCAGAGACCTCAGAGAAGGTTTATGGACGGTTAAATTTGACAAAATGTGCACACAAAAAAGTTGACTTTTTATCGCCAATTTGAACAGGAAAATCCAAGAAATTATTATATTTACTAGTAAGAAAAATGGCAGTTTGAAAAACAACGGTTAACGGCTAAAATTATTACTTGAAATGTACCTTAAATGCGTCATGAAGAAAAACTGGTTCTTTCTGCTTTTTAGCTTTCTTCCCCGGCCCCTTCTTCTCCTTAGTCTTAAAGTCAACTTTGCGCCCCATTCTACAATCTGAAAGAGAAATATATATAACTTGAATTCATCAAAAAAAAAGCGAATACAAATTTGGAAAAATAAAGATAAAACATTAAACATGAACTTGAAACTTTTGAAATTATTTACAAAAAAAGAATGAAGTAGAGGGGTCAAGTTATCATGATATTTACTTACAACGAAAAGTAAAAAAAACTCATTTTGAAAAAAAAAATTTGGACGAACATTTTTTTTCAGTTAAGCCTTTATGCGCTTGTTTACAGAATCGGTTTTAAAATCATCCTACAAAACTCAAGGTGAGTGTATGAATATTGCCTAAAGGATCTGTGAAGATTAATAGTGAAAGAGAATAGGATTATCGTAGAGCAAAGGATCAGTGTATATAGAAAGCGTCTCGGAGTGTAGGCTCATAGTAAATCAATAACGTCTGGGCGTCTAGGATCACTGTAGAATGAAGGATCAGTGTATATTAGAAGGGTTTAAGCGTGTAGGACTAGTCTAGAGTGAAGGATAAGTGGCAAGTAACGTCTAGAGGAGTAGGATCAATGTCGATTGTCGGTTCTGGTAAAGTGAAGAATAAAGATTAACTGTAGGATCAGTGTATTTTAACAGTCTTGTAGTGAAGAATCAATGAAGAGTGAAGGATCAGTATAGATTAACAGTCTTGAAGTTTAGGATCACTGTTAAAGGATCAGTAGATCAGTAGCGTCTGGGAGTGTAGGATCTGCGTCTCGGTGAATACTCTCTACGCCTTGGAGAATAGGATCTGAAATAAAAATCTTGATATCAAAATATTTTAAACTCAACTTAAATTTTGTCGAACATTTTATCGATTACTTGCTAAATCAGATTGTTTTTGTTAAAATAAGAGACAATTAACGTTTTCAAATAAGAAATAAAAAATGAAGCTAAATCTTGCGCGTTTTATTGTACTTTTATTTATCAATTCCCATTTCTCCAAAACTATTCTCCCTCTCTGATTACCTTGATCTTGATCTGTAACTTCTACGAGACCTGTATGGGCTTGGACTCCTGGAAACAAATATAACTCTTAAATAATGAAAATATATTCTATATTTTTGCCACTTATCGACCAGACTAGATTTTGCAAAAATTTAAACGATTCTTTACGTGAACGAGCACATGGATACTTAGCAAAAATAAATTCAATAACAATGCGTACTAAGAAGGAAGATAATGTCTATTAAGTTTTCAAATAATAATATTTCTGGATCAATGAATTGATATACCTTCTTCTACTGTAAGGACTGGGAGATCTCCTGTAATCCCTATCCCTGTAATCCCCACGGGATCTCTCCCTTTCACGTTCCCTAGCACGGGATCCAGCTGTAGGTCGTCCCATATACATACCTGAATACATACCATTGTAGTGAAGTGATAAAGAACCTTAAATCTCCCCCAGCCCCCCTTAATTCTGGGGGAAATTCTTGAAATACTGTGGAGTGGATAGAAGAAAATACACTGCACACCCCCTGTTAAGTATTTATCAAATTATTTTTCTTACTTTCCGTCTAGGTCTGTTCCAGTCATCTTATTCCTTGCTTCCGTAGCATCGTCCACGCTCTCAAAATAGACGAAAGCGAAGCCTCGGCTCCGGCCAGAGTGGCCGTCCAGCACTACCTGCACCTTCTCCAGGTGACCAAACCTACACAAAGAAATATGTTTAAAGGCTGTAGACATAATTTCAAATTTACAAAGGAACTCTCTAAACCCAGTCTGGTAAATAACATCTTTTTTTTTGTCTGAAATAGTGTCAAGTTCTGTAAATTTCCTTCTTCTCCTGTCACACAAATCCGCAAATCATATTTTCAGGGAATTTCCTTCTTTTCCTGTCACACAAATCCGCAAATCATATTTTCAGAGAACCGCAATTGAGAATAATCATTTGAATTATCAAAATAGAGATAACTCCGCCATTGAATATCAGACGTTGGTTTACAGAGTACCCTTGTGAGTTAAAAAATTCTCATGAATAAATGGATGGTTTCTAGAAATTACGTGTTCAGTCCCTTTAATTGAATCAATTATAGCGTGACCGGATTTCAAGAAAGACAAATTGCCAGAGGTTTAAATGTCATTCTCATTTTTTTGGTTTAGGTAAAATATTCGAATATTTGGAGGAACTTGAAGACTGGAAGTTTTTTTTTATCTACTAAACCAAAAATTTCATTTAATTTCCTCAACTCAGACTTGTCCTTGATCTAGACCTAACCTTACCTTGCTATAGTATCCCCTTGATCTAGACCTGGACCTAGTCCTAGATCTTGTCCTTGATCTAGACCTAGACCTAGACTCAGACGCGCTCCTACTACGTGACGGCATCTTTTTATCTCCTAAAGTAGAAAATGATATGAATATCTAACAGTAAGATATCGTGTACATCGATAAGTTCGGTATTTTGAACAAAATATTATCTGGAGACGGCTAGCATACCTTCAGCAGATTATTCTTGGTATTTTCTTTTAATATTCTTGGGCAAACCTTCAACCAAATTCTTGGTGTTCTTCCCATTCTTGGTGAAATTCCCAAGCCAGGGTGTCCAAATAAACACGGAGATCTGTTAGTTTGGACACCCTGTCCAACATGTTTAAAGATGAGAATATTTAACTTGAAATCTTGGTGCTTGTTTTCTTGGTACTTGAGTTGCACCTTGAAAATAATGAAAATGAGATTAATAAGTTCCCAAGGTTTACAAGATAAACCTAAAATGTAATGACGATGACCAAGGTATTAAAATTTGAAAGGGGGGGGGGATAGGATTTCCGAACATTTTACTGTGACGTATTAAGACTGATGAAAAGGCCTCTCAACCCTGCCCTGTAGAAATTCCTAGGTTTTGTTAAATCTAGTTCCAAATCTGACTCAGTCTAATCTGTAAATCAATTCTATCCCCAAATATAACAAAAATCGAATTTTTCACAGTACAGAAGCTTTCCCAACTTTAAACTTTAAGTAAATCAGAACTTTTGTTGGCTATAATCAAACTAATTTACTTTTAAGCTGCTTAGCGTAGACAAAGAAAGCTGTGTCAATAAAAAGTATTTTTTTTAATTGTTATTATATTTTAAAAAAAAACTAGGACTTCACACTTATTTATGATATCCTCTGTATGGTGTAATCTCTATCATCATTTTTATTACAAATATTAATAACTTAATATATAAAACAATTTTTAACGAGAAATTACAAATTATGTATGGTCTTGGATTTGTAAGAAATACAATAAAACTTTGCTGTTCATGCGATTTTAAGCCAAAATATTTTTTTTAACAAAAAGCCAATATTGTAACTAACCCTCTCCCCCATGGAAATATTGAAGAATTGAAAAAATAAGAGTGTTTCTTTTACCTGTAAAATGTAGTTCTGAGAAGATTAGTTAATCCGAAACCAGACGAATCGTCAATTTATCTGAAAAATTTCATAATTATTATCGTCTAAATTTTCAGAATTTTGTACACTAACAATAGGCTTGCCTTGACAGGGTTAATAGTGAGTAAAGGAATCGTTAACGTTCCATACTTTGATTTAAATACAATATTCAGTGCATTCGTTTTATCGTATAGAAGACAAAAAGGTAAATAAACAAACATTTCGTACTCAACTGCTACATTCAAATAGAATTAAAATTTGACGATTGAAAAATTAAAATGGGAAGTGTAAAATTAAGAACGGTTTTACAGAGGATTCATTTTGGTGTAAATAAACGAACGTCTAGTTCTAAATATAGAATTTACAATTGAAAATTTTAAATAGGGAATAAGAGTGTATACTGTATAATGTTAAGAATAATACAAGGTGAGAGAGGATAATTTGCAGCAACGATTTGATCTCTTTCTCAAGGTTGATACAGAACAGGTTCAGATTGAGTTTAATTCAGATCTCGACTCAATAACGATCAGCCCTAATATTAACCGTAATGTTAAAATATTTCAAAAAATAAGACATTATGGATTTGGTCACAATATTAATGCTTCCAGGGACCGAATTTGATTAACTAGAGGTTGCTGAACTACCTTCCGCCGGTTCAAATTCTGAATCATCGGTTCAAATCCTCATGAATCTTAAATTTGAATCGGTGAATCAATATCTTAACCTGCAGTGGGTAGTTCAGCAACCTAGTTCAGTCCCCGAGGACCAGGACCAGGAAACAAAAATTACTACACGTTATGCGGAAAGAAAAATTAAGAATTGCGGCTTTTGCGGTTAAATTGAGATTCAGTTCCTAGTGTTTGAATTCGGAATACTGGTGACAATCTAAAATAACGAGCAGTCTTTCCGTAACTTTTTGGCTTCCTGGATCCGGATCCGCAAAAATATGCGGATCTACGGTTCCGGATCCAAAAGAAAAAAATCTATCACTGTAAAACCAACTCTGTAACCCAAAGTCTGAACTATTGAAAAGTTGGAGATTATGAAAAATATCCTTAAATTTGAAATACTTCTCATGGAAATAAGTTGGAAAAGAAAAATTCTATTTTTGCTGTAAAAAAAAACATCAGTAAATATTAAACAAATGACTTGGATCCGGATCCACTTTATTTCAGTGCGGATCCAGTATCCGATCTGCACCAAAATGAAATGGATCCCAAAATCTGATTGAGATTGTTCATTATTAAAAGATTTTATCCCAACAAGCAGAAAAGTTGATTATGGTTAATATTCCTGTATCTGGGGACGGGGGAGTAGCTTCGGCTTCGACGTCTATATCTGGGACTCGGGGATCGCCGACGACGATCATAATCCCGGTCCCCGTATCCTCGACGATCACGGTCATCTCGGTCTCGATCTCCTCTGAAACATTACAGAATATTAATTAATCTGTTTTTACGTTATAAAACCTTTTAACCAAAAGACTGTAAGCGTAGTTTCAAGTGACTCTCCATGCTAGAGCAATGTCCAAACTACATCAGTACCCTTGAAACTTTTAGTATATTCATTAAACCCTACCAGCCCATAAAAAGAGTTTTTTCCCCCTGCAGCGTTCAGCTCACATGCGTTTTAAATTACAAGCGCTTTTATGCTTTCTTTTTTAAATCACAAGAGCTTTTATGCTTTCTTCTTTACATTACAAGTGCTTTTATGCTTTCTTCTTTAAATTACAAGAGCTTTTATGCTTTCTTCTTTAAATTACAAGTGCTTTTATGCTCTGTTCTTTAAATTACAAGTGCTTTTATGCTTTCTTCTTTAAATTACAAGTGCTTTTATGCTTTCTTCTTAAAGTACAAGCGCTTTTAGGCTTTCTTCTTTAAATTACAAGCGCTTTTATGCTTTCTTCTTTAAATTACAAGCGCTCTAATGCTTTCTTCTTTAAATTACAAGAGCTTTTATGCTCTGTTCTTTAAATTACAAGTGCTTTTATGCTTTCTTCTTTAAATTACAAGCGCTTTTATGCTTTCTTCTTTAAATTACAAGCGCTTTTATGCTTTCTTCTTTAAATTACAAGCGCTCTAATGCTTTCTTCTTTAAATTACAAGCGCTTTTATGCTTGTTTCTTTAAATTACAAGTGCTTTCATGCTTTCTTCTTTAAATTACAAGAGCTTTTATGCTTCCTACCTAAAATTACAAGCGCTGTTATGCTTTTTCTTTAAATTACAAGCGCTTTTATGCATTCTTCATTAAATTACAAGCACTTTTATGCTTTCTTCTTTATATTATAAGCGCTTTTATGCTTTTTCTTCACATTACAAGCGCTTTTATGCTTTCTTATTTAAATTACAAGCACTTTTGTGCTTTCTTCTTTGAATTACGAGAGCTTTACTTTATTAAATTACAAGCGCTTTTATGCTTTCTTCTTTAAATTACACGCGCTTTTATGCTTTCTTCTTTATATTACAAGCGCTTTTATGCTTTCTTCTTTAAATTAAACACGCTTTTATGCTTTCTTCTTTAAAATTACGAGATCTTTTATGCTTTCTTCTTTAAATTACAAGAGCTTTTATGCTTTCTTCTTTAAATTACAAGCGCTGTTTTCTTCCTTAAATTACAAGAGCTTTTATTCTTTCTTCTTTGCATTACAAGAGCTTTTATGCTTTCTTCTTTAAATCAGAAGCGCTTTTATGCTTTCTTCTTTAAATTACAAGCGCTTTTATGCTTTCTTCTTTAAATTACAAGAGCTTTATGCTTGTTTCTTTAATTTACAAGTGCTTTTATGCTTTCTTCTTTACATTACAAGAGCTTTTATGCTTTCTTTATTAAATTAAAAGCGCTTTCATGCGTTCTTCTTTGCATTAAAATAGCGTTTATGATTTCTTCTTTAAATTACAAGAGCTTTTATGATTTCTACTTAAAGTTACAAGCGCTTTTATGCTTTCTTTTTTAAATTACAAGCGCTTTAATGCTTTTTTCTTTAAAATACAAGCGCTTTCATGCTTTCTTTTTTAAATTACAAGCGCTTTAATGCTTTCTTTTTTAAATTACAAGCGCTTTTATTTCTTTTCTTTGAATTACAAGAGCTTTTATGCTTTCTTCCTTAAATTACAAGCGCTTTTATGCTTTCTTTTTTAAATTACAAGCGCTTTTATGCTTCTTTTGAATTACAAGCGCTTTTATGCTTTCTTCTTTGAATTACAAACTCTAGTATGCTTTCTTTTTCAAAAGAAACTAAATTAAAAGTACTTTCAAGGCAAATTTTTAGCGACAATAAGAAAGATAAAGATCTGCCCCCCCCCCCCCCCCAATCTTGGGAAAGCCTAGAACGCCAGTTATTAAAAGAATCACAACCCTACCTTTAAAAGTTTAGTCAACAGTGAGGAAGATATAATCTTGAAATCGCAAGAAGGTAAACAAGGCTTTTCCTCATAAAACTGTTCTAATTCCACATGCTTGAAACTTTTTAAATGAAAAGTCGCTAAAAATCCGCAGACGGTCTCTTTAATCCTAAAATCAAATACCTGTCACTTCTCTCCGTCCTAGATCTACCCCCTGTGGGTCGACCCATGTACATGCCCGGGGTTGGAGTATGTGCTCGTTTAGTGATCGAGAAATCTACACGGATTTTCTTCCCATCAAGCTCAGTTCCATTCATCTCACGTTTAGCCTAAACAGTAAAGTGTTTTTTTATATAACCTAATCAAAGAGGAAAAATATTTTCTTCAAACATTCAACCTTTTTTAAAAAAATATAACTTTTGAACTTAATATAGGGGAAAAAAAGTCAATCAAAAAATTCACCAATTCAATGATGAAACCCCGAATAGCATCTTTTAATAATCTTCATGGGGGAAAATGATTCCTCAAAATGCGAGAGAAATTATTAACTCCCGGAGTATATATTTTTATATTTTCCTTAATGAACATCCCACCATACCAAATTCTTCTTTTTCAGTAAATATGAGGATGGTTTTCAGATCTACTGAAGGATCAGGAAGATGAAGGTAATTTTTCAAAATTCAACTTGGGTCAGTTTATTTATTTATCTAAAATCTATATTTGATCTCCTACCTCTGCGGCGTCATCAACTGATGCGTAGTAGATGAACGCAAATCCTCGGCTGCGTCCTGAATGCCCATCTAGTACAACCTGAACCTTCTCCATCTCACCAAACCTAGAACAGGATTCTAGAGGTTTCAAAACAATTGTAATTGTGGTTACTTACGGAATTTTGAACAGACAGAAATAGGAACTTGTTAACATTTTATAACGTTTCCTTATTGTTACTCATACAAAGGTTTAAATTAAGTAAATTTTATTAAATTTTCAAATGATTTAATGACCGAATTTATTGTTATATTCTTCATCAAGGCAATTAATGTATAAGGTCATCTAACATGAAGGTTTAATTAGAACAAACTAAAGATTAAAAACGGTTAACCCTGAGAAAGGTTTCCAGTAGCTGCACAGATAATTGAACAAAAAAAATTGTGGAATTCTCTCCTCTGAGAAGTCACGCGTTAGAAGTTTTATAATACCATAATTAATAATTTCTCTTCCGTATTTTTTACCACAACATTTTTGCCCCCCAAAAAATTTTTCACATTTCTTCACGAAACAAGCTTTTCGCATTTTTCTTGAGGGCACGGAACGCGAAATTATCGGCAAATTTTTTTTCGCGAAAAATGCAATTTTTTTCGGAACTATTAACCCTTTTTGCTGGAAACCCTAATCCTGTGGAAAGTTTTGATGTCGTTTAGGTTGTAAGTGGTCGCTTTCTGGTTTTGTTATATGTTTGAGAATAGGGGAGGGGGGTCATAGATATAACAATAATAGATTTGAAAATAGCTGACCTGCCGAACTCCTTGTCCAATTGCCTCTCTGTAGTATAGAGACTAAGTCCGAAAACCCCAATACACTTGCTTGGATCGGGCTCCTCACGGTCACCAACATGGCGCCGACGATTCGACATCGGGCTTCGAGATGAGTCACGACGCTGAAAAATTGACTGATTAATACTCATATGAAACAAAAATAATTATAGCGTGAAACACCGTCATTCTGCCCTAATTTTAACTAGTTATGTTCATTGAAAAGTTGCAAGTTTAAACACAGGTCTGGTTTAAAGATTAAAATGAAACCAGGGGTGTATATTTTAAAGAAATTCCCCCCCTCCTCGAAAATAAAATGATTTTTGAAGTTCAGGAAGGGAAACAAATTAGACATCAAAAGGCGTTAGGTTAGATAAGAAAGAAGATATTCATCTCTTTGAAGACTTTATACCCACAAAAAGTATGTATGTATTTATTGTCTCCTAAAATTCGGTTATTTTTTCCAATTCAGCGAATAAAACCCTTAATTCTAGAGGGAAAAAAATGATTTTTAAAAAGAGGGGAGGGGAGATGATTTTCCAAGAAAATATAAACCCCAGAGAAAAACTGTCATCGACTTCTTGTTAAATCTCTACTTTCGAAACTATGGTATATGATCTATATATTTGATTTAAAGACGTCTAGAACCTTGATCGCGAACTGACAAAAAATAACTTACCCTCTTGACATATGATCTAGATCTAGATCGATCCCTTCTGGCTGGTGACCTACTCCTGCTCCTGCTGTCTCTCCTTGGAGGAGTACGGCTTGGTGACCTGCTCCCCCTGGTGGCAGGTGATCTGCTCCTGCTCCTGCTAACAGTCCTCGACCTCGTTCTAGACGGCATGTCGACCTAGTTATAAATCATTTAACGACATGTTCCAATATTCAAGTGAATCCTCTAAAATGTACAAACATAAAAATCCGCAAAATAATGGATGTTTACAATTAAAGAAATCTGCGAGAATTGCCAGTTTGTTGTTTACCTCGAACCATGTGTCTAGATGCTAACTGTGTTTTTAGTTTTTACCTGTCCAGTGTATACTTGTCAACCCATGGTTCAAACTTGAAGTAAGATTTGATCTGATATTAAATATAGATCTTCGTTGTCTTGACTCTTGAGTCTTGATACATGATATCTGCCGACAAGGGGTTCGGACTTGAAACTTGAGATTGAACTCTTGGTGTAAAAGGACTTGAGGTTAAGGTATGACTTGAATGACTTGATCATAGTGTGCTTGCTTTTATAAACCTACTATAGATTAATATTTAGTATTATGTAGGGAATAATGTTATTTAAAGAAGTATTATGTTAGATTCACTAATCGATAACACATACTTTTATATAAAAATTTGTGAAAATATTACTATTCTAGAAGTAATTTAACGATGAAAAATTCATTAAATCGATCAAGATTTGCTGAGATAACAATAGAAAGAAAATACTCATTTTTTTAAATCGATCAAGATTTGGAGAGATATCAAAAAAGAGAAAATTGGAACATTATTAGTATTTATAACAGAATTTATCTGTGTAACTTGTACAAAGGTGCAACTAAAGTTATTGTATGCAAATAGAACTCTTTAGCTAAAATAAAGTTAGGTTATTAAAACAGAACCACGAAACATACGAGTACTCTAGATACACTTAAGAAGAACCATCCAAATTCATTTATCATTTTTAAAGTTTGCCCTCAGTGTTGAAATCTATATTTCAACAAAATTTCTCCACTAAATGTACAAAAAAAAATGTCCGCTCGCGTTAGTTTCATTGGGAAATTGGGTCTGTCATAGTGAACGATTTTTGGACCCCCCCCCTCAATTTTGTACATGACCATTTATTTTTCAGCAAATTTAGGTATATTCCTAGAGAACGGTTTTTGGATAGGAATATACCCGGAAATTTCGATTGAAGACTTCTAATGATGTATGGGTCGGAAGCTCAATTCTAGATTTTGGACCTTCGCCCCCATCCCCTTCATAAAAAAATGTTCATGAAATATTTTGTCTTATTTCGAGATAAGGTGATGACACTTCTAGACGAGGGCAGTAGCATGGACATGCTAGGAGGTCGGGCACAACCGCCATAAGACATACTTTGACCATTTACATTTGAAGAAGGGAAGGGGGGGAAGGAGGGTTACGTGGGTCCAAAATCCATCTCTAAGAAGAAACCCACACGACGCATACAGGCCATTAACAGGAAATTCAGTTATATCACTGACAATAGTCAACCAATGATTTAAAAAACTACACCAACAAAAAAGACTAGAATAAATCGCAAACTTTAAACCCTATACATCTGAACCTAAAGCCTAAATATAAAATCTTACTTGTATAAATTCGCAAAGAAAAACTTCGATTCGATGAGGAGAATGAACAAATTCTGAAAAATTAAATCTATCGCAAATTGTTAAAGTGTAATTCACTAATTTCTGACGAAAACAATATCAAAACTAATAGGAATCAAAATTTAAAATATTCGTAGATAATTCTGCGTTATTCGACGCCATTTGCACGCGGCGCGCTTTGTCAATAAAATGCCGCTGACCAAAAGTTTTCAATTTCGTTGCCGAACTAGAAAGACGACATTTCACAAAAAAAATATTTTTATTTGAGACAATTTCTTTTTTTTTTGTAAATCACCACTATATATAATTCGACTCCATTTAAAGACATTATTTGTATTTTTATTTGCAAAATGATACATTTTTAGCCTTACTCACGTAATCGTATTGTAACTTGTAACTATGCATAGCGATAATATTTTAAATTTCGAATAAACAGCTTTAATTAAATTGCATTAAACAGCTTTATTTAAATTGCTATGTAATTTTCATAAAGCACAACACTGATAGTTTTACAGTTTTATTTGTGAAATTTTAGACATAAAACTGACGCTTGAGAATTGCTTTCTAATCCAGCTTTCATCGTACGAGAAAGCAAGTTAAAGAAAAGCTTTTTATTTTCAGTAGTCAAATGTTATCCACAGAGAGCACAATATTAATATTACGAGGCTAATATTTAATTGATTTAGCTATACAGACCCGTTAAATTATATTATTATTTATAAAACATCGGTCAATAAATTTTTTAGCAAATTTCGAGAAAAAAACGAAAATTAGCAATGAAAATTTACATTTGTAAAAATAAATTACATAACACGAGCCAATTGCTTATTTTGATTAAAAAAATTTGGAGCAAAAATGTAATTGTTTAATAGCAGTTTTCTAAAATCACTCTGTTGGTGCACTGTGGAGAAAACAGCTGACCGAATTCCTATGTTGTATTGTGTCTGTGATCACAGATCAGTTGTTTACATTACGCATCAGCGTGCGTAGGCACCACATTTTCAAGCATTCAAAACTTTTATGCTTTTGTTTACGCAAGACGTTAGAATTCTTTTAGTATTAGAACTTATTTATTCTATAATTCAGTTTTTAAAGATCCTTTTATATTGTTCGTCAATAATAAAAATTAAAGATTGTAAATAAAAGAATGGGTGCTCCAATTATATACTGCGTGGTAAGGACAGGCGCATGAAGAGGTGTGTCCTGTCCTAACTTGTGCCTGAAGAATGAATCTGAACTGAAGCCCCCTCCCCCCCCCCTCTGGCTAATTTGATAATTTTTATTTTTGTAACAGCTTATTGTTAGTGACATTTGCCAGTTATGCAAATTTTAACTATCGTGAAATCACAATTATGAAGAATGTGTAAGTACCTCATGTATATCAGATATGGAGTCCCTTCTAATATACGGTTTTTGGACCCCCCACCCCCCAATATCAATTGTGTACATGACCATTTGTTTTAAGTTATTTTGTATTTTTTTAGGGTTAGGTTAGGTTAAGACATTTTTTGGGTCAGTGCTGCGACTAGGACAGGCCAAGAAGGGGCTGAGCGCTGCGGCTAGGATAGGCTAGGAGGCCGGGCGCTGAGGCCACATGGTCAATGATATTCTTGTCTTACATATAAGATCCATGAATAAAATTGATAAGAGGGGGTCGGGGGGTGGGATCTAAAAATTGTATACTAGGAAATTACCAAGATATGTATCTATATATATATATATAAATATAAAGTTGTGATCTCTGTTTGTTTGTTTGTATGTCTGATCATAACTTATAAACCCATTGACCAATTTTACTAAATTTTTTATTGTTGAACTCTGGAGCCCGGCCCCGGGCAGGGGCGGATACAGGATTTAAGTGAGGGGGGGGGGCAAGATTTTTTAGGAACAAAAAAATTCCTAAGTAGGAACAAAAAATCGCGCTCGTATGCGAATTTTTTTGACTTAAAAGACTCAAAAAGAGTCTTAATTAATGAATTAGGAACAATAAAAAGATTGTTCAGGAATAAGGAACAAAAATAAAGGATTAGGACAGGGATTTAGGAACAATAAAAAGGTTGTTCAGGAATTAGGAACAAAAATATAGGATTAGGACAGGGATTTAAGGTGGGTCGGACACAGTATTAGGAACAGGAACAATAATAGGAACATTAGCAATTTAAGAACAAAAAGAAATTACTAGTTATACTTAAATGCATGAAAATTAGGAACAATATTACAATTTTGATAAATGAGTAATGATTAAGAAACATTACTAGATATGAACAATATTATAACTGAAGTCTAGTTTCTTACAAATTTCTAATTCTAAATTTATCGTTAACAATAACATTTACTTGTTGTCGTTGATTTTTAAATTAAACTGAAGAAAAGAAAGTCAAGATGTGCAGTGTGCCGTGTATTAACACCAATAAAACAAAATACAATGTCGTCGCATACTCACATCGTTGGTTATATTTATTTTTAACAAGCTAGAAAAATATTTTTTTCGTCCTTCTGATGATTCAATTTTTCAATAAATATTGATTATTAGATTTCCATTAAATAAAAAATAATCAAATAGCTTGAAAATGAAAAACACATGTGATTTATCAAATTGGGAACATTTTTTGCCTTGAAATCTCAGGGGGGGCGAATGTCCCCCGCCCCCCCCGTATCCGCCTCTGAGCCCGGGGAATATTCTCAGCTTGGTTTAAAAGTTCTAAGTTGACTTGGTTGACTTTATAGTTTTCAAGCCAGTGTATTTTTTAATGATATGTATTAAACTAAGAACTTTGCATAAAAACTATAAAAATGCGCAATATGATAATTATACATTGTGAGGACCACTTTTTCAAAGACATTGAAAAAAATGTTTATCTACAACAGACATTGTTAATATAAACATATTTGACGGTTACACTACACGGAGTACTTTCTTTGAATACTAATAAGATGTAAGGTGTGTATACTAGACCTGAGACAGAGTGCTTTGTATAAAAACTGTTAAATGTACTTTTTTAAGGGCATAACGTGTACTTAACTTAAAACTTTGTATAAAAACTATTAAATGTACTTTTTTAAGGGCATAACGTTTAAAACTATCAAATTGTGTACTTAGAACTTTGTATAAAAACTATTATGGTGTATACTAAACTAAGTACCTGCATCAATAAGATGTGTACTATTCGAAGTAAGTACATTGTTTAAAAACGAATGAAATGTTTACTTTAAAATCTGGTGTTGATTATCGACCAAACCTCATGGAGTTGATAGAGTAGATGTGATCCACATTTTATTAAATATATATTTCGGTCTGGGTTGACCCTCGTCAGTTCTTGAGATTGTTTCTGTCATGAAGATTAAAAACCAACAGTTTACTAAGTAACTTGCTTACTTTTATGAGTACCTGGTACAGAAGTAATATACTATGTACTTGCTAAGTACATATTATAAAATTATCAAAATGTGTAATAAACTTAAGTGTCTTGTGCACTTGGTAGACGCAACTAAAGGGAGGGCAAGGGGGAAAGGCCCCCCCTGTAGGGGGGCAAGAAGTACTTAGCAGGTTGTTTCTAAAAATAGATAATTTTCTCTAAAATTTGTAAAAGATATGCCCCCATATTAATTTTCTTAAAACCTACAATTTTTAAGCAAACTCAAACTCAACTATAACATTATTCAATATATCAGCTCAGATTCTTTTTATTTTTACCCTTTCTTTAAAAAATGCCCCCAAATTTGGATTTTTTAAATTACACTCGCACATTCTTATTCAAATTGCTCCACCAGACATAAAGTTGCCCTTATTCAACATTTGTAACCCTTTTTTTTAGAATGCCACCAAATATTTTTAATTTGCACCTAAATTTAATTTTTTTTATCCCCAAATGCTTTATAAATACAACCAACTTTAAAATGTACAACCCTATTTAAAAAATGCTCATTATTTTATTTAGATAATGCTAAAAAAACAAAAAGTTTTGCCCCCAATAATAATAACCCTTAGTTAGAAAAAAATGCCCATTTTATATTTATAAAAATTTGACCCCAAAATAAAGGTTTAAGATTTCTCGTACACAAAATTGACAAAACTGAAAAGAGCCCTCCAAAAATAAGATTTAAGACAAAAACAAAAATTTAAGAAAAGAATATTTTTTATTATTTCTTATGCTAGCTCTAAATATAAACAAATAAAATCAATGAACGTTGTCTCTAAAGGTTACAGCTTATTGTTAAGAGAAAGGTGAAGGTATGAAGAATTTATTTCACAATACCCTTAAAGGGACGGTTAACCCAATTTTAAGGGTTTTTATTTTTAGATGGGCATGTTCAATTCAATATAATACACTAAAAGCTTTGTCTGACCCAAAAGTAAGAGATCAGCCTCTTACGACAATTTTTACGCTCCAGGAAAACATATAAGAATTATCAGAATTAAACATTTTTAGCCATAGAATTATAATTATAATAATTATTCAGAGAAAGGTTTTAAGGATAACGTTGTGAATCAAAACATTGCATGGAGGATCACTTGAAATTACATGTTGTAGGTTAAGACATTTTT